TATATATACGGACTATAATGCAATCCTTATTATTTACTGGGTTTGTTTAAAAAAATATAAAATAATTAAAATTAAAATATATGTATGTGTGTATATGTATATGTAGGCGTATATATGTATATATATGTATATATATGCATGCGTCTATGGATGTATGTATATGTAGGTAGATGTGTATGTAAATGTGTTTATATGTTTTGGTATGTATGTATTCATATATATCTGTATATGGGTGCATATGTAGGTCCTTGCTAGATTAGGTAATCGTTATATTAATTTTTTATGTTTATATTTGATTTGTAACCTGTAGTCGATATTAATTTTGTCAAATTTTCTTAATTACACAGCGGCCCATTTAATAAATGCCCTTCAATTTTAGTTCCCACCGTCTCATCTCTCTCCCCTACCCACTTTTTCTTTTCTTTTCTTTTCCTCTCCCTCCCTCTTCTTCTGATCTTTAAGATTAGATCGTCTATTGTGTGTGTATGTCATTACAAAAAGTATCCTTTCCGGTTACATCTTTAATGCATTAGACATCCGACAACATTCATATTTCTCTCACTTAAGCCGTCTTTGACTCCCCTCTTTAAAACTTCTATCTGTTAAGTTTTAATCTCCCACCTTATCTCGCCTGTTACCCCTCTCTATAGCTCTAACATTCGTCCCACACTCTCATACTTACACTCTCTCTAAATTTTATTTTTTATTCCCGAAGTTGTTTTTTCTGGTTTTTTTTTGGTTTTGTAGGTCTGATGAATTGGATCGTATTTAGGATTCCAATGTAATAAATTATGGCCATGGAATATTAGTGTTTGCCTTTTTTTTATTATATCCTTACTCTGTCCTGGACATTGAGTTCTACCTGATTCTATCCTCTTGGAATATTTTTTATATACAAATATATATGTATGTATGTATGTATGTATGTATATATATTTATATATTTTGCATATGTATGTGTATATTTACCACTAATATTATCTCTCTCTCTCTCTCTATATATATATATATATATATATATATATATATATATATATATATATATATTCCAGGATCATTTTTTAACTTATTCAAGATGATCTTCGCCCTCTTTAACCTTGTAAGTTTCTGCCCTGAGGTAACAAGGTGGTTTCACGTACGATTTCATTTTCAAGTCTTTTTTCACTGCTCTTTGGACTAGCATAGCTGAAACTCCCCCTTACGTGCCAAAAGCCTTATGAATTGAGTTGGATCTTTTCTAATTGGTCTCTTTAGCTCTAAGTTGAAATGATGACCCGTCTTCCTGCTGTGAAAAGCTATAGTTTTAGCCATTATTAAGGATGATTTTATTTTTGCAATTTAATTGGGTGTGTGGGTTGCGTGTATGTTTTTTAGAGTTATAGGGATCTTTTCTTTTCCGAACACGGTTATCATATTGTGGCCGTGTTCGTAGTTAATATTATGAAGTGTTGACATTGGACGAGACCTCTCCACCACGTCCCGTAAATGCTCGACTGAGCTCATACTCGGCGAACACAGCGGGAGGCATCTTTCGTCGAAAGTCTCCATGGTACACAATATTCGAGGATAAGACTGGCAGATTGAAAAGAACAATTTACAGGGACCAGACACATCTTCTTCAATTTATGCCCACGTCTTCCCTGAAAACAAAAATACGATGATCAGTGATATGTGGCGCAGAACTTAACGCATCAAGGTGTCTGCGAAACGACTTCAGATAGCTGTTAAAAATATGTTAAAAATGTGGATAACATGACGTCACTGGGAACTTTACGGCTGTCAAAATAACATATACAGTGAATTAGTTACTTTGACACAAAACACTGATAGCCTGTGTTAATCTAACACGGAAAATCCTTGTTTTTGAAAGCCCCCGGATGTCAACTTTATTTGATTCTTATTTGCATCCGGTTCTTGTTTTATGTTATTGTTCATCCAATATAAGGCACAAGACTCACTCAAGGTAGAGGGATACGGAATGAGATTGTTGTAAGAACGTAAAAGGAAGAGATACGTATCATGAGGTTATATTGGATAGATAAGGGTTGATTTGAAGAGATTCAGATTGTAGTGGCCGGAGAAATTTCTAAAGGCCACAAGGGATAGGAAGTTGTGAAGAGCCATTATCGCCTATGCTCTGAAGGAACACGGCTCATCCTGTGTCATGCTTGAACAAAATCTTCAGGACATGCGTATATGCCGCTATACAAAATCAACCAACCAACACTACAAACAATATTTAAATCAATAAGACCAACAATACTTTTTCCTGCAGTTGAAGGACGACACAAGTTATGAACAAATAGTGAAATCCCAAACAAAATCAAAAACACCATGAAAGTATAAAAATACATATTTTTTTTAAGCATTACGCCCCGAGCAAGGCGTGAAGCCACTAGGATACAGGGGGTTGCAGAAGATTTGGAGCGAGAGCAGATAGGAGTGATAGAAGAAAGGATGAGGAGAAGGATAGTGGGTAGATCAAGGTAACTGGAGATGTCGATTGACATTACATTTGAATAGTTGGAGATTATAGCTCTCAGGGAAACAGTAATTGGGAAGGGTGTTCCACAGGTGAGAGGTGCGAGGTATGAAGCTATTGGAGTAGAAGAGACGGCTACATTTTAAAGTTTCTACAGTGTAAGGGTGGGAGCGGGATGCCAACCTCGTAGGGCGCTTGAATTCATGGAGTCTGGGAACCAGTGAAAGCAGCTCATCGGAGCAATTAGTAAAAATGCCAGCAATATATTTTTATATATAAAAAATGATGAACAATACATATTTATAATAAAATGACCAACAATACATTTTATAGTAAAATGACCAACAATACATTTTTATAGTAAAATGACCAACAATACATTTTTATAGTAAAATGACCAACAATACATTTTATAGCAAAATGACCAACAATACATTTTTATAGAAAGATGACCAACAATACATTTTATAGTAAAATGGCCAACAATACATTTTTATAATAAAATGACCAACAATACATTTTTATAGTAAAATGACCAACAATACATTTTATAATAAAATGACCAACAATACATTTTTATAGTAAAATGACCAACAATACATTTTTATAGTAAAATGACCAACAATACATTTTATAGCAAAATGACCAACAATACATTTTTATAGAAAAATGACCAACAATACATTTTATAGTAAAATGGCCAACAATACATTTTTATAATAAAATGACCAACAATACATTTTTATAGTAAAATGACCAACAATATATTTTATAGCAAAATGACCAACAATACATTTTTATAGAAAAATGACCAACAATACATTTTATAGTAAAATGACCAACAATACATTTTTATAGAAAAATGACCAACAATACATTTTATAGTAAAATGGCCAACAATACATTTTTATAATAAAATGACCAACACATTTTTATAGTAAAATGACCAACAATATATTTTATAATAAAATGACCAACAATACATTTTATAGTAAAATTATCAACAATACATATTTATAATAAAATGACCAACAATACATTTTATAATAAAATGACCAACAATACATTTTTATAGTAAAATTATCAACAATACATATTTATAATAAAATGACCAACAATACATTTTATAGCAAAATGACCAACAATACATTTTTATAGTAAAATGACCAACAATACTTTTTATCTGTAGTTGAAGGCATACAGTTCCGTTAAAAATATGTAGATTTCGGCATTAATAACCCATAGAGGTTGATATAGCGTTAAACAAAACCAATCAATCCCTAGCTGGGACTCTAGCAGGTGTTACCAACTCGGTGTAGGGTAGACCTAGGAACAACAGTAATTAAAAGGTGTTTCCACGCTCATGAAAAACCTCTAACCTGCCGGTATGAGGCCTTGTTGCAGTTCATCGAAATACATAATGCTAATGAATATACAGGGTGTTTCAAAAAATTTGATATCCTTTGAGATGTAAATATCACAGAAAGTACATGATTAAGGCAAATGAAATTAAAAGTATTAATGTTGAAGATCATAAGATTTATTCTTCCAAATCTGAATGAGAAATTCAAAAGTATGTGGATTATGTGAACGATTTCACAAATGTGAAGTTTGTGGTCGTCCGAATCCTTTTGCTCTGCACAGACAGCCTTCCTCTTTGAACTTTTTATGCCATCTCCAAATCTGCATTCCTGTTGGTGACTTTCTAGAGAACTCTCTCATAAATGCACGCTGCACAGTCTTGTTTGACTATGTTCTAGCAAACTCCAACGCACAAAACGCCTTTTCTCTTCTAGTAAATAGCATTTTTATACCTGTAAAGAAAAAGATTAAAGACTAAAGAACATAAAAATACAAATAAGAAAAACACAAAAACATAAAGATATAAAAACATAAAACAAACATTAAACATAAAGATGCTATTAAAATTTGAAGTCATTTGAAGGAGATCTAACAAAGTTATTAGATTGCGAAATGATATCAATTTTTTTGAAACACCCTGTATATCAGTTGTTAATATGAGTGTGTTGTCCGGGGTACAGTTACTTTATGCTATTTTTATTTATTTCCTCGAAAATGTATCTAAAAAGCCACTGGCATCTGCTTTCTCTCTCTAGAGTTCTAGCAGTCCAATGAGGAAATTAAAAACTCGAGAAAATTTAGTGTTTGTACGGTGGTGATTAATAGTTACGAGTTTGGTTTAGTAAGTATTGAATGTTACATGCCCGTTTTCCCCCTGTTGAGCTGTTGGACAAGGTCTGCCTCTTACATTATCGTTTATTGCTGCTGCTCATCTTATTCAACGTTTTATTTTGTTTCCACAACATTGTTTTCGTTTTCTACGCGTTCCAAGTCAATTCCTTTCCTTAATTTACCTAACAATCTTTTCAGGTACCCGAACCTTGACTACAATAGCGCCACTCGCAGAAAGAACGCTACTCGTGAGACGACTAACGCCCTGAAGGCGTGGCTCTACGAACATAGAAAAAATCCCTACCCGACAAAGGGTGAGAAAATAATGCTGGCCATCATTACGAAAATGACACTGACCCAAGTCTCTACTTGGTTTGCTAATGCGCGTCGAAGGTTAAAGAAAGAAAACAAGATGACTTGGTCGAACAAGGACAAAGATGACGATACAACTCAAGATAAAGACGACGTCATGTCACATGACCAAGCAGATGACTTCCTCAATGGTCGAGATGATAATGCCAGAGAAGATTCGTCTTCATCTTTTGATGAAGGTAAGATTGAAAACTGATATATAAACTATAAATACTCGTAAAAATTTCACGGTTTTCTGATTTTAAATTTCTGATGAATCTTAATTCTTAAGTTAATGCCTGAATACATGACAAGTTCTTAGACAATAAAATATCCGTAGAAATTCGATTATCGTATCGTTAAAAATTTGAGCTTAGCAACTTTAACAAATTATTGCAATAACAATAATAAATATGAATTCTGATCGTTGTTTTAAGAAGTAAAATTTGAAATTGACTTTTATTAATTTTTTTCCATTTAACTAAAACAGACGACAAACAAATCGTTACCGCCTCATCTATCTTCTCTACTCTTCTTTCCTTTTCTTAGCAAAAACAAGTAGCGTCTCCAATATGTCTTTTCTGTCTTTCCACGCGATCAAAACGTAATAATCCATTATTTATGAGGTATTGATAGAACATAATTGACGTGCTAATGAACTAAGGGAAAGACAAGTATAATTATAATAAGATATTTAACAGAATGGTTGTGTGTTTCAGTTTTTCTTTTTTTCTTATTTTGTTATTCAGAATTAACCGATGATGTGCGGTATGATATCACGGAAAATAATTTTTAAACAAATGGGTCAAAAATTTAATTCCTTCTAAACAATTCCATATATAACGACACAAGAGGGGCACCACGACGTGGTGTAATGGTTAGAAAGCTTGTCTTGCTAGATCAATTACTACTGAGTAGTGAGTTCGATCATCACTGGGTGCCCCATACATTCGGTCTTGTGCCACATCTACTTAGAAAATCACTATAACGACACAACAGATACTAAAAACATATATCGAAATGCATACTCAATTATTTTAGCATAAACATTCATTGCGAATTATTTTACGATAGAAATTAATTGGAAATTATTTTACCATAGTTTTAGTTGGGAATTATTTTACTATAGAAATTAATTGGAAATTATTTTGCTATAGGAATTAGTTGGGAATTATTTTACTATAGTAATTAATTGGAAATTATTTTACTATAGAAATTAATTGGAAATTGTTTTACTATAGAAATTAGTTAGGAATTATTTTACTATAGAAATTTATTGGAAATTATTTTACTATAGTAATTAATTGGAAATTATTTTAATATAAAAGTTAATTGGAAATTATATTACTATATAAATTAGTTGGGAATTATTTTACTATAGAATTAAGTTGGGAATTATTTTACTATATAATTTAGTTGGGAATTATTTTACTATAAAAATTAATTGGAAATTATTTTACTATAGCAATTAATTGGAAATTGATTTACTATAGAAATTAATTGGAAATTATCTTACTATACAAATTAATCGGAAATTATTTGAATCTTCGTTGTTGATGTAACAGGTGGGAATCATTAAAGGAATAAATCAAAACCATCATTCACTCTAGTCTTTGCATATAAAGGGCATGTGTCAATGAATTACTGATGATCTATGAACAGGGTTATATGAACTCGTGTCCGAGTGGCTAAAACGCCCGCTTTTCTAACCATGAGACACTCAAAAGGGTGACTTACTGATTTTATCGGTCTTAGAAATTACCTGAAAAGTCATAACGCTTACTTGCCTTGCTCAAGAAAGTGATCACTCCAGATTATGCGGTCTCTACCAACAAACTATAACGAGGTGAGTATAAATAGTAATTAGCTTCAGTATAAACTCCAAGCGGGTTACGAAGGCGACTGTAATAGGGTTTAGTCTTTTTTCTTTTTTACAGTAAGGTTCACTATTTAAAAGGCCAGAGGGTTACTCAAGATAGAGAGTTTCGTTTCGTTTGTACGAATAGGAGAAGAAGATAACGGTTAACCTTAGCGTTGAACAGGTTAAGATTGTAGTGATCGGGAAAGCATTCTCTTGGGAGTCTGTTCCACAGAACAGTGGTCCGCAGGAAGAAGCTGTTCGAGTGGAATTTACTTCTCACCGATGGAATACGGAGGGAATATAGGGATATGAATGTAAGTGGCATGGTGTGACCTTGCCGTGAAGCTTTGACTTGCCGGGACCAGGGAATATGTAGTTTGTGAATGCAAGTAGCGACAGACCAGCGAGAGGCTTGCTACATCTCGCCTGTGGGAGAGAGATTGGAAAGCGGAGAATAATTCATCACTCAATGGTTTGGAGACGCTTTTGGTCTGTATCAAGACTGGAAACTGAGGTCTGGGCAACCCCCACCGAGATATGACAACTGTACTCCATTTTTGCCCTGATCTGGTTCTTGTAAAGGTAAAGGATAGCAGGCCGACTTGGAAAAGATTACTAACCGGCCACCAGAAACAAGTTTGCCATATCGGGATCCCAATAATAAAATTGGGCTACATTTGAAACAACTTTCTTCTTATCGCCGAGCTTAATTTAAATTTGATGACTCTGTCTTCAAATATGCTTTCTAGACTACTGAAATCCAGGGAATCTGCTATGGCAAAAAAAAAAAAAAAATGCGCGATCTGTTTATGATTTGGTTCTAAAACAAAACTGGTCCCCCACTTAAGCAGGTATTAACTATCTACAGCGTTGCAATATTTGAGGTATCAAGTAGCAAACTGAGGTACATTTGAAATCGCAGTGGAAATGAACTTCTTCTCATTTGCTAGCTCAGCTTCAGCTTCACTGAAATCTGTCAATCCTGCCTACACATTTCTGTGCTACAAAGATGTGTGGACACTAGCATCACAAAAAAAAAAAGTGAGGGAACTGTGGCAAAGAATAACTTGTTAATTTTAACGCCTCAAAAACGAAATTGCTTTCTGAGAGAACCCCTTCTTAGATTCCATCAACATGGCAGATGCTAGCCCTCAGGAGAGTGATTCATTGCCCCTTCGCGGATAGAGCAGGGCTGGAGGAGTTTGATACTTTGTGGACCGGTACCAGGAATCGACAATTGATCCAGTAACTTTAGCGATGGATCTTATATACGAGTTCCTTTTGAGATATAGACTGAGACTGACTTCGAGTATAAATTCAAGGCATGTAGCCTCATTAATTTCCTTATATTTATGTATGTAAATATGAATATAAAATAGGACACTGAGGTCAACACTTAGTGGAGACGTTTTGCTTCATGCTTTACCGCAATCCACTGGACATATGTCAGAAGATTGTCTTCAAGCATTTTCAATTATATATATATATATATATATATATATATATGTGTGTGTGTGGGGGGGTATTAAGTACCAGAATTTCTGGTTCTTTTTCCGCGTGTAAAAGCCTTTTGGGGTCGGCAGGTTTTTGTCATAAATTAGGATAGAGTGTTAATAGAATTTATCTGGAGAAGATTATCACTTAGCTGAGTGGTGTTGGTTCACTTATGCCTACTACGTAGTTTCATGAGTACATCAAGATAACATGTTCACTCTTCAGGGCTTGTTGTCTTCTCTGCTACTATTTTTCAATTTTGCCGTATTTATGTGTGGCTCGGTGTAATTTGACATCTTTCATAGGTGTCTTGTTTTTTACTTAATGGATGTTGTTGTTATTACTTAAATGGTATGGGGTTTCTTGGTGTTTGCTTTCTGTTGTGGTGTTCTCTTTTTTGCCGTATTTTACTTAATTGCTTTATGTGGGATTGGTTCTTTTTACTGCATTGGGTTGGCATCCCACAGGGAGCAATAAGGTTCGATAAGGTCAGTTTGGCAGATGATCTATTAAATTGATTTGTTTGTTTATTTAGCGGCATATCAACTTTACAAATTTATTTTTATACTTTCATAATGTTTTCACCAGTTTTGGGCTTAACTATTTGCCAATAGGTGGGACCCTAACAGGGTCAGGGTGAACCTGGGAACAACACCAATTAAAAGGTGGTTCCACGTTCCAGAAAATCTCAAAAAACAAGATGAGGGGCCGACCAGAACGATATCTATTAGATCATCTAGATTCTGTTGTTAACTGGGGTAAGGAATGGCTTGTTAATTTTAAAGCATCCAAAAGGAAACTGTTCTTTTTTAATCGCGCGAGAGAACCCTTTTTTTACCGTCCTGTAGTTTAGCATCTGCCATGCGTCAGTATGGCAGATGCTAACCTCCAGGAAAGTGACTCATTGCGCCTTCTCAGGTCAACCTTTTCCACTGACAGAAAAGTAGACAAAAGTAGAATGATTATATTTAATCAAATGTTTTTTTTTCTTCTCTTCGGAATTAGTCTTACATAATTATATGTCTATCATTGGTCCTTGCTTTGAATATTGCCGCCAAATCTGGTATGATGTTCCTGCTGTATATTTAGAGATTCTTGAAAAATCCAAAGGAAACTCTGCAATGTTATTGATCCTGACCTGACGTCTCGCCTTCAGTCATTTTCCCACCGCCATAATATTGCTTCCTTGTACCTTTTCTGTAAATACTTTCATGGGAATTGTTCTGATGGTAGATGGTTCTCTATGGTAGATCGATTTGTAAATTTAATCGTATTGCTAGATTGGCGGCATGGTCTCATCTGTTTAGAGTTGAAATGGAATGGATAAATGTAACAATAGGTTCTATTTTCACACTTCTTGTAGAGTAGCATCCCATTCCCCCTGCCGTGTGGTAGAAGTCATCAAAAGAAACAGTACAAAGAGACAATTAAAACTAAACTCCATTGGTGCAAAATCAAACCAATGAAGCTAGCGAAGTGTGCAATCGACTGATCGCGTTGGTGTGCCATTCTCCACTAGATTTTTGCAAAATCACGAAGAGGTCCGGTATAAAAAAATCAACATTAAAAAAGAACAGAGCTACCGTGCATCCTTGGAATTGGTCAAAACCACCAATTTCCATTGTTCCCATTGCCCCAGACACTCCGCATACAGACTTGCTTTGAGGAGTTACCTCCGCATTAATGAATTTCAAGACGAACAAATAACTATATTCCGATTATGAGTAGGCAAAAAGAACAATTATTATGGGACAGCAGTAGTATTATATAAATAATAATAAACTACCTCTGTCCCATAATGGTTGGTACATTTAGTGTATGAAATATGTAGGCAAATGGAACAAT